CGGGCAACTTGCTGAGCTCGCTGCCCACGTCGTTGAGGATCTGGCGCGAGATCACCAGGCTGACGTGCTCGTTCACAATGGCCTCCACGAAGAGCCGGAGGCCGTCGATCAACTCCTGGCCGGTGTTCGCCAGCACCGTTTTCAGCAGCTGACGGTACTTGTCCGCCTGATCCTTGTGCGTGCCGGTGAAGTTGATCAGGCCCATCAGCTGGTTGCGCAGGATGGCCGTCGAGATACCCTTGTTCGTTTTTGCGTAGTTTGCGGCCATATTCACTTGTATCCCCCAATTATACTTCGCACTAGCTAAGAACAACAACGCAAGCTCATCCCCGTTATCGATAACAGGCGAATCCGGCCGGGGCACTAATGGGGCATCAGCCTTTTTCTAGCTAGGTCTTAATAAAAGTAGCTGTAAGTTAGGGAAGGTATGTATATATTTGTTAACGCTTTTTACTTTGAATACTTTCCTGTATTAACGTAATATACATTTTTTTATTAAATAAGTTTATGAAAAAAAATCAAAATAGATAAGTAACATACATTTGTATATTTACCTGCATTTAACCTGAGTTTAATGAAAATCAACAGCGTAAAAACCCTATTAGTATCCCTTTCAGTTTGGAGGTTTACCAAGTACCCTTCCAGAAATATGGCTTTAAAAGCTATGTACTTGTAAGCGATAGTTCTGATTTAGAGCTGGCAGACCTGGGAAAAAATATCCGAATTGCTAAACGGTGGAATACTTGGCTGTTAATCGATAAACAAGCTGGACTTTTTTCCCCTCAGCATTGGGTAAAATTTTGCTTACAAGAGAAAGCATCCTGAATAAGAACAAACATTTTAAGAGAAGGGAAAATAAGGAAGATGGTTTGAAAAAAGGGGTAGAAGTCCACATAAATGGCAACGATTTATATATAAAAATATGTATATTCAAAATTGGCGCTTTTAAGAAACAAAAGAAATAAGAGATGCAGTCCTGCTAATTTATCGATAATTAGATTTCGATACCAAACTGATAGTGAGTTCGCTGCAGTAAACAGGTGAAAAAAGTTATATATGTGTACGGGTCCAATTGGCCTTAAAAACCTGTATCGGGATCGGGCAAGACAATCCGCAAATGCTTTATGATCAGTGTTTAGTCGAGGAACTCGAAAACAACTAGTGTGAAGTCCACCCTGCTTCCAAAAGGGTGGGGACAAATCCCACACATACATACACTTATCAGGAGCAGCGCAGCTCGCCGAGTGAAGTGGAAAATGTATCCAAAGGAGTCCAATGGCCGTTTTTGCGAGCAGATATGAACGGAAATTGCCAATTGACGACACCCAAGCGCTGAGCTGCGAGATAACCGCTGTCCAGGAGGTCGCCGGACATACGGTAGGTGGAACCGCGGGGGGAGGAGCTGCTGACCCCAGCGAAAAATCAATAATTGTTGATGATTTCATGCAATCGGTGTGCGTGTGTGTGTCTGGCTGCAGGAGTACTTGCTGCGCGTGTGGAGGGGCGCCAGCAATAAGGACTACTGGACCGTTTTGCGCCGCTACAATGACTTCGACCGGCTGGACAAGTCTCTCCGCGTCTCCGGCATCGAGCTGCCGCTGCCTCGCAAGCGCATCTTTGGTAACATGCGCCCGGAGTTCGTAGCTGAACGGAAGCAAGCCCTGCAAGTGTACATAAACGCCGTACTAATGAATCCCATATTGGCCTCCTCGCTGCCAGCCAAGCGCTTCGTCGATCCCGAGAGTTACTCGCAGTCCTTCCACGGTGGGTTCACTTTCCTAGAGCCCTGGGGATTGACCAAAATACCCCTAATCTGTATACCCTGATTTCTCTGCAGACCACGCCGTGCAGAATGCCATGCTCTGCCTGCGAAACGACTCTACGTGGTCGCTGGGCGGAACCATGGGCGCCATAGGCTGGCGCCTTCGGAAGCACTACTTTAAGGTGACTACCAAGCCGCCGGAGAAGAGCCACAACAAGCAGCTGGTCAAGAGCGGCTCGCAAACCCATCAGAGTAAGCATTTCGCTGCTGGGAGCAGCAATGGCAGCGGTCACTCCATCGATGCGGGAACCCTGGATCCGGGGTCCGAGGTGGTGGCCGAGTGGCTCGAGTACGGGCCAGACAAGTTCGTCGACGAGAAGGAAATCGGGGGCATAATGAAGAGCCTGATGGGCCTCCAGCATCCGCACATCGAGCCGGTTCTTCTGGCCGCCCACACTGAAAATGGATGCCTCGTTATCAGGAAGTCAGTATCTGAAGTAATCTTTCGCAGAGCAAGGCTAACATTGTTGCATATTCCGCAAATAGGTTCCATAAGCACGGTACCCTGAAGGATGTTTTGTGCATGGCTGCAAACCCAAAGAATCCCTTCCTTAGCAAGTACGGCAATCCGAAGGGGCGCACTGCCCTCTCGATGAAACAGGTTGCCACGTATGGCAAGCAGATCCTAGAGGCTCTCATATTTTTGCATTCCAAGGGTTACGCATATGGTAAGGCAGGACAGGACACGTTAAAAAAACAAATAATTTAATTTTTAAAATTCTTTAAGGTCATCTCCATGCCGGAAACATAGTGATAGTGGACGACTGTGTTAAGCTGCTGGACATCGAGAACTTTTTACTGGGCGTGCCAGCATTCTACCGGCCTTTTTTTATGCAGCACAGCAAGATCCATGCCATCGAGACTATTGATGTATACTGTTTTGGTCATGTCCTCTTCGAAATGGCTATGGGCTATCCGCTGCAAGAGTCTGTGGTGCGACAGATCACAGAATGTCCAGAGGCGTTAAGTGGGTCCCTTTATATTACGAAGCATATTGTTTTCTTCTAACCTATTTGTCTTTGCAGAATGCCTGCTAGAGAGCATTCTGTCAAAGGAAGCTTGCAAGGCTGGCCTACCAACATTGGAGCAACTGCTGGGTCACAGGTTCTTCACGCAGTACGCTTCAACTGAAAGCGCTGGCGCTGCTGCCAATGCGGAAAAGCCGTACTTCAAGCTATCCCTGAACGCCAAGGAGCTGCTAAAGCAGGCAGCCATCAAGAGCGAGAACCGCCTGCGGGACGAACAGAAGTCGGTGAAGAACCAGAAGCGCATCGTGCGCGTCCAGGAACTGATGAGCTCCGAGGAGGAGAAACGCAAGTCCAAGCAAAAAGCAGTTAGTTGCCCAATACCGAACCATTACACGTAGATCAATCTCACACAGCCACTTAACAAACACTTTTTGGTTTCTCTTTTCGTTTATTTGATCGATGCTTACGTCTAGAAACTAGAGCACAAACAGTCGAAGCTAAAGCAGCAAGGTTCTATCCAAACAAACAATGGACGCTTGTCGCTTGTGGCTGCAACTGCAACAGCAGCTTCCTCCAGCACAGCGGTGGCTGGTGGGGCAGACTCCTTTAACCGCTCCGACAGCACTCCCGAGGAGCCCACACTGGCCGGCATCAAATGTAGTTATCTAACAGCCGTTCACAGCTTCAAATTAGTAGTTTGTTAGCTTGTTCCTTCGAACTAACTTGACTCACATGCGATTTCGTTTTCCTTTCAGCACCACCGCTTACTCCGGGGCCGCACTTGGGCGCCATATATCAGCAGGTGCCGGCGTCGCCAGGCGCCTCCGTGGAACGGCAATCTTCGACTCCAAACATGCTAGCTGAGGATGCGGAGGACGGCGATGGCGATGAGCCGACCCGCTCCGCTCTACTGGAGTCCATCTGCAAGTTCAACCGCGGGTCGCTGCGTAAAGTGCGCTCCAACGACTAGCTGGGGTGCTAAGAGATTTATAAACATTACAATTTTTGGACCAAATGTGGCGTTATGAAATAACGGTGCCATCAAAAAATAACTCGGAAACTAATCGAATTCCAAAAGCTACATTTTTAGAGGCATATTTGAAAAAAGAAAAACAAAAAAACAAATCAGCAGATCGAAGACACCGCTGAGCATAGCATATAACCCAAAACAATCCAGCAATTACTATATGTACTAACGAAACCCACTGATTATAATTATTGCATCTTATACGTGTCCACTATACATTGCATACGATTTATCGGCTAAAAGAATATGTCTATTTATGTAAACAAGTTACATGTCACTCATTTGCGAACAGACTCCCAGATCGCAACTAAAGCTTTACCTATGTGTCCACTACACGACTGAAACTAACTTTGGTACGAATATCTAAAAATGAAAAACGGATACAAAGAATCTTAAACAAAAAGAAAATCGGGAAAGAAACGACAAGGAGAAATTGAGTACTTTCCAATATTTACATAAGTCTGCACCAAAATTTGCACGGGACGAGACGCTATTCTTTTATAAGGCCCACTGGCCCATATAGTACATGGATATGGATGTTAGATGTCTAAGAAACTGTTCCTCGGTGTTGTGCTATCTCCACCAGTGCGTTTTTATCGCCAATTTTTAGTAGTTGTACTGCAGGTTTTGTAAATTTGAGTTTTTATATTTCGAAGAGCCACGAATGTTTTTAAAACACTCAACTGTTCGTAAAAGTCTAGACATACTCGGAGTCCTGGACTCAAAATAGTTGGAACAAAAGACAAAGACAAGGAAATGTGGCCAAGAATTCGCACTGTTACCGTTTTTCTTTTTATAGACAATTTATTAGGTGTGTATTTAACCGAATCCAAATTATGTATCGAGTATATTTATATTTGAATATGTGTATATACATGTAATTGATGTTTTGTGGCCACAAGAGCACCCAGTAATAACGTAAATATCGTATTATCATCTACCGACTGTGTGTATATGTTTGATATGTATACTTTAAACGGGAATCGGAACCGAAATGCTAACACGAAAGTAAAATGTATTCCCCACATTGCAAACCAAATAAAGTGTAAACTAATTGTCGTTGTAAACTGGACTTTAATCTGCTGTCGATCCAAGGGGGCTATCATTTTTCTGTGTTGTTTAAGATTAGATTTCTGTTTGAGTCTGGGAGTTCTCAAAATACGTTTAGTTAAACACTGTGATCATGGGTGACTCTCCGGAAGAGCGGCGTAGCAAGGACGCCGTGCCCGAGGCTTCTCCCAAGGAGGCGGAAACTGGCAAGGGGAAGAAGGAGAAGAAGGAAAAGTCGGCCGAGGGCAATCAGAAGGTAAGTTTGGCTGACAAGTGGCGCATAATTTGGCTCGGTATTGATTCAACAAGCGCCACGAATTGCCACGGCGACAGGCCGTCAAGCAATCTGGCAGGGAATGGCCTAATGGCATAATCATTTGTGGTTTTATGGCTAACCGCTACGCACTCGACCCGACTCGATTCCACTAATACCAGGCAATGGCAGCCGCTGCAGCGAAGAACTGGTCGGGTCTGGTGAATCTCTGCCTGGGGCAGGAGCGCGAGAAGGTATACGATTGATTTTGCCATTATGGTTACAATAGGTATTTGATGTCTTTTTAATGAATTGATGCTTGTAACGGAATGTGAACACGGGAGTGTATGGATTGCCTGAAATTTGGCCAAGTCACGCCATATCTTGTGGGAGTTCTGTTGGGGGATACAGTGTCTAAGCCATTACTAACATGCATATTCGGTTTCCCATTTCATCGTCATGCAGAGGCCGGCGAGCAGCCAGCGCGGATCGCTGACCAAGTCCCATATAGGCGTTCCCCTGGGCATGGGTGCTCCGGCGGCAAAGGTAAGTCTGCAAAGTAACCAACCGTCCCCCTTTGTATCTTAAGGTCCGTACGATTCGCAGCCCACGATGCGCTTCATGCCCACTTACCGCCTGGAGTCAAAGAATCCTCTGAATAAGGAGCGCGTGGAGAACATCATCAAGGCGGTGATGAACCGACACTACAACGAAGAGTACATGTTCCATCCCAAACACTCGCTCCACATGGCGGCCCAGGTCAGCGAGGAAATCAAGAACCGGATCAAGCTCGACAACTACGACAGGTGACTTGGTGCTCTGCCAATTTATTTCTGACTAAGCACATATCCCCCTAGATATCGCTACATAGTGCTGGTCACTGTGGGCGAGTTCCTGATGCAAGGCCTCTACTCGATGGTGAACTTCTTGTGGGATGCTGAAAAAGATGGTTTTGTGACCTACAGCGTGGAGAGACCTTCGTACTTTGCGGTCTGCACCACCTTTTACCTGTACTACGATTGAAATCGGCATTCGAGTTGTTATTAAAATTGACGTTTATGCTTAAATGCACAATTTTTGTACCTTGCTGTGTTGGTTATCAGATTAATTCACTTTGTATGGCACTCGGACTTGCACTGTAACTCACAGCTCACGTTGTTTAACACCAGACTTTTTAACACATTAGGTTGGATTCGGTAGTTGACGTTTATTTAAATATCAGTGTAATAGTTTGATATAATATTTTCTCAAGCCTAATTTATTCGAACATCTGTCTAATGATGCAAGATCAAACGCAGTTAGATCGTTATAACTATCTCTGAGTGTACAGATTTACGATTGGTATATATATAAATAATATTTTTGAGAACACACGCATACACAACACATGCACTAGGCCAACTCCTTGGATTATCATCGTATATCGACTGATTTTTGTTCGTGGAATGACACTTGAACTCACAGAAACATAATGTAGCATGAACGCATGTATAAATTATAAACAAAACACCATTTTGTTGATAGCAGCCACAAGAAAACCAATGTAACAATTGCCAAACCCAATCAAACAGCAAAGACATTTTGGAGCAAATGCTACACGACGTTCTCTCTTCGGATGGAAGACGGATATAGATCGGGGATCGGAACACGATTTGGATATGGTAGCCACTTTCACGCACCCACAGGCCAAAATCACCAAGGAGCCTCTGAGAGATCGAGGGGAACTGAACTGAAGCCCAGCTAGAATTAAACACTTCGCACTGATTGCTCTTGTTACGGGAAAATCGCACTGCAAACAATCTATTGAGACACTTCGTAATGTTTAGTTGTGGACTCAACTGGACAATCAGACCACTACTTGGTGCACTTTTGTCGCACTGTATTTTCAGCATCACAAACTAAAGACCAAAAGGCGAAATCATCAGCGTAACACAAATGAAAATAGGAAATCAACTTTAAGGAACACAAAAACTTTCATCGAGATTATTATGCACTAGTTGTTGATCATAGGCGGACACTCGAATGGACTTTTTAGAAAATGTTTTGTTTTTTACTCATGTTGTTTTCATTCTCAGTTGTACACTTTAACATAATAAAATTGGAAAAATTGTGTGGGTTGTTTTTAAATACAATCTTGATCGACTTTTTCGAACTTTTAAGCACAATAATAAAAAGATGTATGAACTTCACTGGCACTAACACATCGAGAACTTGAAATGAAACCATAAAGAGAGATCCTGTCTGCAAAAGAAGGTTAATTAATGGTTAATTAATACGCGATAGGGGTCATGAGGTGTGGGTGATATCTCCTCGGTTCTGCTCATGTCTCTGGATGTGTGCATCATGTGTGTGTGTGTGTGTGTGCGGTGCTTGGAGGATGCACATACACGACCCATGCGTGTATGTGAACCCCTTTGTCCTCCTCCTTTTGAGGGGCCATCTAAGATACGACTACGGCTTTTATGTTATAGTTAGGTGTGTCGGAGCCTCTCCTTGAGCACTGTGGCTAGTCATTACCTCCAGTTTGTCCAACACCTGCCTCTCCTCCCCACCGACTCAGCTCCACTTTAGGCCGTTCCACCGCGCACAACCACTATAACCAGATGGTCCTCCTTCAGGCCCTCCTCTGTCAGACTGTGGCATGTGCGCTTTAGCAGCTCCGTGGAGAAGTCGCAGGGCGGAAAGGCGTACAGCACTCCTGTGGCCTCCGTCTCCTTGTTCAGCAGAGAGATGACGCCAGCCGCCTCCTTCTGCTTTAGGTAAGAGACCAGGTTTCTTAGCGGACGCGTCTGCACGCTAGCATCGTCGCAATTGGTGTCATTTGTGGAGCCGGCCAAGCCCATGAAGATAGCGTGCGACGAGGAGGATGCAATTCGCTTTTGCACATCGTCCAGCTTTGGCGGATCCAAACGCAGTCGCTGGGTGATGCGTAGGTTGTGTTTGCCCTCTTCGTCGCGCATCAGCGACTCGACAATATCTGTGTCGCCGTCCGTCAGATGGAACTTGGCTGGGAACAGGGAGCTCTTAAGGATCAGAGCTCCGGTCCACACTGTACTGCACTTGCGGGCCACCTCTGGAACTGTACTGGCTGATCCAAGAGCGTCGTTGCGGCGAGTCGACGTGTCGGAATCGGATCCGGGAGAGCGAGCCCGCTTCAAAGGCGATCTGGATCGAGAGCGTTCCACGCCAGGTTCCCGAGAGCTGGAGCGAGCTCCCCTGTCGTAAGATTCTCCAGGTGGACGTCGCCACTCATCATCCACTCCTCCAGGAGGCGGCACCGACGAGGAGGACCCACCCAAGGACCCAGGATGCGGCGGCCTGTGAACATCATTGTGGTAGTGGTACATGCCGCGTCCTCTTCCGCGATAGCCACCACGTCCGCGGTAGCCACCCCTGGGTGGATACGGGGAGTAGCCACCTCGCGGTGCGTAGGACGCCGACTCCTCGTAGTACGGATCATATTCCGGACGCCGGTACTCCAACGCACTTTCGTCATATGGCGGCTTGGAGCCCTTAAATGGTGCTGCCGGTGTGGCGCCCGGTAGTTCTGCGAAGTCCGTGCGAAGACGACGCTCCGGTCCGCCCAGGGGAAATCCTCGCATCTCTTTTACCGCCGCCGTGGCCGCCTCCACGGTCTCGTACTGAATGTAAGCGTATGGCTCTCCCTTTTGGTATTCGATCTTCTTAATCGCGCCGAAACGATCGAACTCTCGCTCCAGCTGAGTGACCGAGGTCCAGCCGCCCAAGCCTCCGATCCACATACGAGTAGCCGGAGTCACCTTGCCGTATCCGATCTTGCACTGAAACTTTCCGATGTACTGCCCGGAGAGCTCGATCTTTGCTCGGTGAGCCATATCCAGATTCTGGTAGCGCACAAACGCGAACGCGTTACCCGTGCCAGGGGGTGGACGCTTGATGTCAATATCATCCACTACTCCATACTTGCCGAAGATGCGTCGCAGCTCGTCGTCGGCAATGGTCACCTCTAGATTTCCTGCAAACAGTGTGCGCGTAGAAAGGGGATCGTCCTCGGGCTGCACGTGGTGCAAATAGTTGGGGAACTTGTCCTTTTTGCTTTCGGGCTTTTCGTAAGGAGCATGTGGACGTGGTGCCAGTGGTCTCATAGGAGCGTACTGATGGGGTGGTGCGTGGCCATGGAGGTGATGAGGATGGCCGCCGCGATGCAGAGGTGGACCGCGTGGCGGATGTGGATAGTCATGGTGCATTGGCCGGTAATCCCGTGGATGTACGGCATGCGGATGCATATGCGGAGGACCGTAGCGGTCATAGGGATCAAGCGGGGGCCGGCGGTGATCCAGAGGAGCCCCCGGGCCCATGGGTGAGCGCGAGTAGTGATAGCGCTCGTAGTCTGGCGGGGACATGGAGTGCCCGCGGGGTCTACAAAATACCAAAAGCAAGTTAGGCTTAAGGAACAAGATAAATTTTTAAAAATGAAACCATACCTATACTCCGGCCTAGTGGTGGACTTGTACACCGGCTCCACAATGGCCATCTTGTCGTAGATGATGAGACGCGGCTTGTGGTGCTTGGCCTCGCGTGCATCCTCCGGCGTCCGGAAGCAAACATAGGCTACCCTTTCATCCAGATCATGAGCCAGTCGCACACTGAAGTCTCCAAACTTCTTGTACTCGCGGTACAGTGTCTCCTCGATGAACTCGTCCGGAGCCTTGGGCGGCAGGGCGCTGACGCACAGGACCTTGTAGGCAGCGGGTCGCTCAGCGGGTGGAGGACCACGCAAGTAGGGCTCTCGATGCGGAGAGCCGTAGCGGCCACGTGGACTTGGCGAGCGATCCAAGCGGCGTCGCATGCGCTCCGGCGACAGGCGCTCCGGAGAGTCGCCCGGCACCCCGCTGCCGTTGTCGTAGCCACGACCCATGCTCCGCGAGTTGCGCGACAAACTGCTCCTGGCGGCCGGACCCGGGGAGCGCGAGGCGCTGCGCTTCATGTTGTGGATTTTGATTGTGATTCGATCGGCTCCGGCTCCGTCTCGATGACTACTCATGGGCGGCTCTTCCGGTACTTCTTTCCTCTGTTGGTGCTGCCTGAGAACTTTCTCGCAATTTGGTTGTGTGGATTCTGCGAATTATTCGAGATACGAGCCTTGTGAAAGTACTGGTGAAAAGCAAGCAGACAAGCGGCGGCCAAGTGAAAAGAAAATGGCGGAGCCCCGACGACAAAAGAAAACGCTGAGGGCGGAAAATACACCAAAACCACGAAAGTAAGCTTTGTTTCCAGTGTCCTTACCTCTTTTGCTTGCGTCAAAAGATAATTACAGTGCTTTTTTCCAAATATATCGCGAATATTCCTCGGATTCTTAAATTTTCTGCGGCTTTGCAAATTCTGTATGCGTCGAAAGTGGAATGCGGTTATCGATAGCCATCAGACCAGTGTTGGCATCGTGGATGTTATCGACCCACATTTGGCTATTTTCAAGCCTGTAATGAAATAATTGTATTAATAAAAGTAGAAAATAAAAAATATACACGTATGTTTAATAATAATTTATTCTTTTTTATTTAGATTGTCCATAGATTCCCCCCCAGACCTCCACATAGACCAACCCTAACATATATATTTGGACAATTTCAAGCCTTCGAACACAGACGAGCCGAAAGCCTTAGTTGCTAGCGCTCCAATTATAAGTTAGCTGTTAGTTTTACACTGTTAGTTAGCTTTATAAAAATAAATAAATAAATATTCCGACAATCTAAGAATCTAAGAAATTGCTCATTTAACGATGGATGTACCACATTTTTAAGTCTCAACAGCAGGAAACACATTCATAATGTATAATGTTTTTCGAAATAAACATACATATTTTATTGGTTGTTTTATAGCTAAACCTACTTATCTTTTTTCAGTCGAGATGTATTTTGCTATCGAGCAGCACTCTCTCGATATGCATTTGACGCGGCATCTCGTTCAAATTCGTCAAGGGTGCAGGTAAAATAGATCACAGGTAGAAAGGGACCAAACAGAATTAAAATCTCGTTATATACCACATGCCGGAAAACCCAAGTAAGTGATTAGAAAGAAAGGCAGGGGTTTTC